GCGCGGGCCGAAGCGGTGCTGCCCGCCGCCCTCCTCCCGCCGCGGGGGCTCCGCTCTGAGAGGTCGTGCGGTACGCGGCCTCATTAAGCAGCCCCTCGGGGGGTGCGGGAATCCAGCTGCAGTTACCTGATCCCGAGACTCCATGAGCAGATCCCGTGGGAAAACTCGCTCTTCCTGTGGCGTGCGGGAGGAGGGAGAGGATTTTTCCCGTTCTGCCCTGGCTCAGCATCAGCTCTCTTGTCGCCGCTTTGTCCAGCGGCACGCCGTACCACTGCCTAACCGGGGGCCTGGGCAAATCCTTAGTCTTCGCAGTTGCTGTGGGAGCCGTGCCTTGTCGCTTACGCCTTGAGTTTGAAGCAGAGCGTCAGTGTTCTCTCGATAGGTGTTGCAACTGAATGATGCGCAGGTGGTTAAAGCTGTGTGAAAAGCAGCACAGCCTCATGGGAGACCTTTATCAAGGGGAAGATTGGCTGGCAGTAAGTATGGTCGCCGAGGGCTGGGGATACGGCTGCCTCTTACCATATTCTGAAGGTGGTGGGTAAGAGGAACGGAGAACCAATACTCACCAAATCTGATAGCGTTAGAAGAGGGATGCTTGGTGGTTTTAGTAGATTACTTTAAAACAGATAAAATACTTTAAAAGTGTATAGTGAATTTCAGGAATTTGCTGCTATGGGAGGTTGTAGAAGCGGACAGTATTAACAGATTCCAAAAAAGGATTAGCCAAATTAAAATACATCAGGTTCATAAACAACATCCAAAAATGACTAGGCAAGGATTTGCCTTCTAACACCCCTAATGTAACAGCTTTGTCTGCTGGAGGAGTATGAAGGAAGCAGACCACAGAGAGTGGCCCGGGTCATCTAATTTCTTTTAACAGCATTTCTTATTGCTGTTGTCCAGACAGAATATGGCTTGGTGTCTAGAGGAACTGTGGACTCAAACCAGTAGGGCATGTCTTACACTGTTATCTTCCTAGCTTTGTTTATTTTCTGTGGAGGTTAACACTTTTTCTTAAGAATCGTGTTGTAACAGCTGAGAGGGCTTGACGAACTGAGGCTGGGAGGCATGATTTCTCTGTCAGACCACAGTTCCCTGACCAAGCAATGAGGGAAGGGGCCTTCTTAAAACTGGGTCTAGTCTTCAGAGTATAGCAGGGTCCTATCACCAGAGAGGTGCTAATGTTCTTTTAAATTAGCTTGGGAAAGTATATGCTGCAGATAAGCAACCTGGTAAACTCAGGGCTGTAGACTTCTGGGCTCAAGCTCACTGCAGAGCCCTACCAAGCTGCTTTCATGTCCTAGTTCTGAGATATTTTTGGCTGTAATGATTGCTTACTTTTTTTCTAGTTAAGTGTGGACTGAGAGACAGGAAGTGTTTTGAAAGCCATGCAATGACATACGCTTACTTTAAATAAGGTAGTTTGTTATCTCAGACTTGGTCTCTATTGTGTGTTATGAAAGACCATCCAGACTTTTTTCAACTATGGTTAAAATAAAACAGTAGGTTTGTCTTAAATAGAAACGTGCAAACTGGGCACGAGTAGAAACACTATGAACTCTGAGCAAAATACAAAGCAAAACAGGCAATTCTGGTACGATTCAAGCATAACTGATGCTTGCTTATTTATTTTCAATCTGGGAGCAGAGATGCAGTAGACTTAATGCTCCCTTTATTTCTAGAGGAGCACAGTGTGTGATGTTTTAATCCCTTTTCAACTTAATTGCATCCTGGTAGACCAGGATATGCTGAAATAGGTGTCGAGTCTTGGGAACAGTACACGTAGTGGAAATGAGCAGGAAGTGAGTAGCAAAACACAACGTGGGTTTCACTGGTTCTACTGATTTTTGAGGGCTTTGGGGAAGTCTTATTCACAAGTGGAGGCAAGGATATCTGCCAATACATCATCTGCAACTTTCTGGGACCACAGTTGCATCTGGTGGCTATTCCAGTGGGGATTTCACTGCTGCTGTAGTATGTGTGAGTAGAACCTCTTGCATTCAGTAAGAATGATGTAGGGTGATACCTGCTTTTGAAATGGAGCCAACTGCTTGGGAAGAACAGAGAACACGTGATAAATTAACAGCAGAAGCAGTGTAGTCGCAGAACACGTAAAGCGTTTCCAAATACTATAAGGATTCTTTGCAAATACTATAATGATTGTTGCCAGCGCTTATTATATCACTGTTGTGATCTATTGCCATCTACTATAAGGAAGTCTTAATGAGGAAATGGCATATTAAAAAAAAGGGGGAGGAATCATTTGAGGAAGGCAGGCAGGGAGCTTGAATGTGGACTGCCAGAATCCAGTGTTTTCAGTTGTCTGATTTATTCCACATCAGGAAATCCCCTCCCTGTCTTTATGATAGTGATTCTGTATGACCCAGTGTCCTGGGTAGTACGTACACAGTAACAGTCCTTTATTGCAGTCTGGGAAAAAGGGAATGTGTGTAATATTTTAAAACGGCTGATACTGGTTCCTGGTTGCAGGCTTCGTTGACCCAAGGCATCCCTTCATAACCACACTATTGCCTACTGGAGACTTCTGCAGAACAGAAGGGAACGGTCAGGAAGCAAAGATGATCTCCTTCAAGCAACTGCCTCTTGAAGCAAAGGCTGCAGTGGCTGCAGGAGTGGTTTTCTTCTCCATGATGCTATCGCGGAGTTATCTGGCAGAACAACTTGAGCTCAGGACACGGCGTTGGCTTCTAAGGCTGCAAATGGCGCTATTTGCTAATGCGCTCATGTTGATAGGATCTCTTCATGTTTGGAGAAGCACAGTCACCACGTTCTCCAGGTCTTCAGCTGCCAGCTCCTTCTGTTTCATGCCATGGAAAATGGCTGTGTTCATGTTTCTAGCTTTGGCTCATTCAAGCTTCTTTACATTGCTATTTCTCGTTGCAGAAGAGCCCTATTTTTTTTCTTTAGCTGCCTACACTTGCCTGGGGGCCTATATCATTCTTATCTTCTTCCTCTTCGCTCTAGGCTCTGTAGAGCAGGCTTACAAGTTCTTGGCTGGGAGAGGTGCTAAGGCAGGTACTGGCAACAAGAACAGCAGAACAGCGATGAAACCAATTTTGGCAGTCATGCTGACTGTTGTGCTGACTGTTGTCGGGCTGTTAAATGCTTCCCAGCCTCCCACTGTGAATTCAGTGGAGGTTCCAGTTCACAAGCTGCCCTCAACAATGAATAATCTGAAAGTGGTGTTGCTTTCAGATATCCATCTGGGCCCTACAGTTGGGAAGACCAAGCTTGCCATGATTGTCAGAATGGTTAAGGCTTTGAAACCAGATATAACCGTGATTGTTGGGGACCTGACTGACTCTGAGGCAGCGATCATACGACCTGCTGTTGAGCCTCTTGGAGAACTTAACTCCCCTTTGGGCACTTACTTTGTCACAGGAAACCATGAGTACTACACGTCAGATGTTAGCAACTG